ATTTTTTTTGGGTACTAGAAATGTATATGATATAGTGTTCCGTATATCTATTAGGACGTCATTTTTTAGTATTACACAGCTATCTAAAGGCTTTATCACCGAAACTAGGGTATGATGCACAACACTTGAACGCTAGAGAATAAGATGAGTCTCACCAACTTATTGTAACAAATTTTTTACATCGTTTTATGTTTTTACTGAATAAAAAATGGAGATAGCGTGATGAAAAATTGCATTTCAGTACTCTGACTCGTTTGACTATTACCGTCTGCGAAACCACATGGGGAGTCCACCAATATGGACATTAACTTTCACGCGGAATTATAATGAGGAGGACTTTGGTAGTCTTTGTTCATGCAGAACAGATGAAATAGTACTGTGTTTAAAGCATATCTGTAGACAGCTTAAAGATGGATCGTTTGGCTTTACGTCATTTTTCTTATATACAGTCAGTCTTGAAGGTTTTAGAATTCTGGACGCATTTCCATTTTCGTGAAAGCTTCTTCTTCAGTGTGTGTGTGTGAGAGAGAGAACAATGTCTAATGTCTTAATTGGGATCAGGGTGATGGACTAACATGCATCATGTTATATGTCACCAAGTATCGTGTCTCTCATGGTCCCAAAAGCCATAGAATGATGTCTTGAGGATGTTTGTTTGGGGAACCCTGAAACGAGGAACTCACATGACATTATTGCACTCTTTCCACTACAAAATCACATGCTTTCGCATTCTTAAAATATTTTTTTAAATAGACAACATAGTGAACGAGACTTTTGTCATTATTAGTTTACAAATTATTAGATATATATAGTTTTATCTCACATGCGATAAAAACATAAAAAAATGTTTTGTGAAAAGTGTATGCAATGCACTATCAAACTTGATCTAGCCCTGTATTGTTTGCCTTTATATATGGTTATACATTATTCTCACAAGTGGCGTTTGGTCGGAGACTCTCGTATCTCTCACAAGGGGCCTGGTGTGAGAATAATGTGTAAGAGTTTGAGAATTTTTCAAGTTGTCCAATCGCAAACAGACTGTAACCATGAAAAGAAGATGCCCTCATAAATACATTTTGACAAATAATGATCTCTGAACAAAGTTGCAGAATGGAGTTGGGTTATTTCAATTGACTTCCCACCTCTTTTGCCTTTTATTACATGAGTAGCCCACACCTAGGTTTTTGGTTAGCTTGGATCTTAGTATGTTATTGGGTAAGCTAGTTTTCACTTAGTCAGACCACTCGTGGAAATCCAAGGATGATCAAAATCACAAAGTCTGGTTCGAACTTCAAGAGAAAGAAGTCGATTTCACAAGGAGGTTGAAATTCACCCAAAGTGTTTGAGGCTTCATTTTTTTTTTATTCATATATAATCATTTACTCTAAGGACTAAATGAAGACTTATAGACACACTCACACACCCAAAATTATCTGATGTTTGAGGCTTCGTTTGGTTAGCATCAAAACATTAGAAAGTGTAAAAAAATATTAAAAAAAAAAATCAAACTGTTCCTTTGTTTGATTAGCTTGAAGTATAATTTCTTGAGAAAGTTTTTTTTTTTTCCTCAAATGTCAAATTTTTCTGTAATCATATATTGTGATTTTCCACAAATTGGGTGGGAAAATTTTTGTTTTCTGTAAAAGTTGTCTTATTTTTTTCGTTTTGCCCACTTACTTTTTTTTCTTAGACCGATATGATAAGGATAATTTAGTCATTATACCAATTTTTCTATATTTTTCTAACAACTTTTTAATTCTAATTATACGGATACAAAAGGATAATTTTTTTTTATATTTTCTTTTTTTCACTTTGCTTTTTACTTTTTTCATTTTCCATTATCAATTTCTTTCTAGCCACACGGAGCCTGAGGAATCCGTCTAATCCATTCTGCAAGAAAAAACCTTGTTTATGTAAGAATTGAGCCAGGTTACAATTTTACATGAGAATCCACCCTAGTGTTTATTGTCATTAGAAACTATTTTGCACAATATCCTTGAGTTGTTTTCGAAATATATTATACTTACCAAAAAATATAAGAAGAATTGGGAGCACAAAACACCAATTTTGCAGAGTGAGGTGTAAGAATTATTACCGTGAAAAAAGCTAATACCAAAAAAATATAGCTCAATGTAGGAAACTCTTGTTATTACAGGGTTTAAGGGGAGTTATATGTGTATAATCTTGCCTCCCATGCGAAGGAGGTACACTTAAGTCAAAATATGGCAACAACAATCGGGTTACTATTGCGTTAAGACTTGCCTTCTAAATTTGACCATTAAAAGGCAAATTTCCAATTCAACACTGCCCTACTAGATTGAAAATGAAACATATATACAATAATGTTACTTGTATCTAATATGATGTCTAATATATTACGACGATTATATTGATAGTAAACTTTTTCAATTTTGAGAACTGTTGCTAATTCAATGGCCATAATAAAATTGATCATTATATATTTTGCATGTATATAATGAAACTGTTTTTCCTACCTTCGTCCACTATCATTAATGTTCATGCATTTGCCTGGGTTATCATGAGATTGGCTATTACTTTCTTGCTCGAAACTTCAGCCAAGGTTGATGCTTCCTTTTGTAAGTCACTTCCTGTCAAATGTCAATATGGACAACTGGTATCATTGCCCCCAATGTAGATATTGAATCTCTACCCAGAAACATCTTATTAACTGTGATTAATAGTAACCAAGCAAGGACTAGTGCGCTCAATAGGAGGTACAAGCTTTTCAAGACGATCATTCGAACTTTTGGGGTGTCACATTATTGGCAGTTCTGCACTTATTGGGCAGGAAATTTGGATGTGCATCTTTATGTATTAATGAGTTTACATGAGAAATAAGAGAAGAGATTGAAGTTTAATTCCGACAGACAGAAGAGAATAAACAGAAAATGGCAGACATGGAATTGATGGTAGAGTGGGACCCAGAACAGTTGGACCATGGTTCAGTTCTGGGTCCGACCTCTCCTCTCAGAAGGTTTCAACAATAGATGGACGATGGACCACCTTTGTCCATTCTTGGGTTCATGACACGTGGAACAGCAGTGCCTTCAATATAGAGTATATTACTGTGTGTCCACGATGGATTACCACATCCTGAATTTTAGACAGGACTGTGATGAGCTCTCTGCCTTTTAAGCCTGATGAAACCTTTGTGGGTATTGATTAAACGGGACCAAACTGATTAACATTCGAATGACTTTGCACCCAAAAAAAAAACTTCAAACTAGTTTCAAATTGATTAAACATTCAACATTATTAATCATGAGTCGCTTGACACCAATTATATATGTACCGATACCCCTTATTTTACCAATTAGTCCACAACTATAAATCGTCCTGATATATTCAGATCATGCTTATTGCTAGTGAATGGTGACACTCATGTGACTTTTGATCTTTACCAGCAGCTAGATGGAAAGAGAAATATAAAGAAATAAATTATTATTATCTCGAAGATACCATCCGGTGCTTGTCACGTGTATGGAACCCAGAAACAACGTTTTTCCCCTTAAAGTTTTCGGTGTCGGTCAATCTATGAGTTCTAATATTTATTAGGACCCACAATCTATTTAATAATTGAAATTATCAAGTTTAATTTTTAAGTTCATTTAACATTACTCTTATATGTATAGTTTATATATTCTCTTCAAATCCCGATTCAACAAACTATATTAATACGTTGAGAACATGGTGAGCTTCCATTGTCATCTTTACCGAGGTAATCAATAACTACCTTTTTTCCATAAACTTAGGTAGGGATGTGTGTTCGTGTGTGCGTGTATTTGTATCACCACAGATCATGTCACATTGTTGGCTCGAGGGAATACATAGCAGATCGATGCAGATTACCTGCAGTTGGATCACAACACAAGCTGAATTAATTTTGCCTATGTTAGGGAAGATAACAGGACAAAATGAGGGCACCTGTGGGCCTTTTGGTCGTACCAAAATTATATACTGGCCCTCAATTATATTGCTTCTTTCATATTGTTCCCTTAATCATCACATTTCTCACATTGAATGTCCACTTATATATACTTATACTTATTAGTTTATTACTGTCATTTCAACTATTACCTTCTCTATTATTTTACTTCCGATTATACTCGTTAGTTTCAAATTAACCCAAATATAGATACTGAAAACTTGCATTTTATTTCAGCCTTCGAAATTTTTTTTTCAAAAAATGTGTAACGTTTAGTAAAAGAGTAATGTGAAACAAAAGTATATAGTTAAAGGGAAAACATAATAAGAATAGGATTTTGACAATTTTTTTGGGTCAAGTCTCATGAATTCTCTAGTCGTGACATAGATGAATTATTTTTGACAGAATACATAAGCTAGGCAGAATACTCTTGATCGTTGAACTTAAAAAAAAAATAGGAGTATCTAGTTCAATAGATAATTAATCCTTGAGTAATACTATACTGATCAAATTTTGGGACCAAATTTAGAGGTCAAATGACATAGTAGTTGACTTGACTTCTTTCATTGGTGTCATACCATTTGAGTCCCAATAAAAACTCCAAATAATTAGCTACTATATCATTTAAACTCTAAATTTAATCCCAAAATTTAGTCGTCCCAGCGGTAATCCTGTGGACTAGGTTTCCTTTTTTCGTGTTATACCCAACTTGAAAGTTGAAACGGACGAATGAGATCCATTTTAATAAGTGAAAAGTTGAATATTATCTCTCCATTCTTTGGTCAACATAATGAGCACCGTCCACAAAAAATACTGTCGGGTTGTGTGCTTCACAACCCACTATATATGTGTATATATATATATTCTAAGTTGCACAAGCCTCCCACACTAAGAACCCTCTCTCTCTCTCTCTCTATATATATATATATTCTAAGTTGCACAAGCCTCCTACACTAAGAACCCTCTCTCTCTCTCTCCCCCTACCAAGAGTTAGAGAGGCTCCCACGAAGTTATTTCCAAGATCTTTTAGACAGGTTTAGTGTTGTAGGCTAGAATGAACATGTTGTCTAAGAAAGCTAGGTGCGATGCAGATGGGCAAGACTCTTCCTTCTTTGTAGGATTGCAGGAGTACGAGAAGAATCCCTATGATGTCGTCCGAAATCCTTCTGGGATAATCCAGATGGGTCTTGCCGAAAATCAGGTTAGCAAAATCATATGTTTGTGTGCTTGTATAGTTTCTCACTTTTGGTCCAAATGATTATTCATGTATGATATTAATTATTCATTCTTTCGGAGGATATTGATACATATTATTTATTATATCGAATAAAAGAATTAGGTAATGCACAAGAATTATTAAATAGAAAAAAAATTAGACATGTTCAAAAAAGATTTAGTTGTATCGTGGTGTTGTTGAATGGCATCATGACGTCGTAGAAAAATGTTTAGGATAACTCAAAAAAGTCATAACTATGAGTTGAATGAGACTTGTGATTATATGAATTACATCAATCTTGATATTGAGTCAAATATAACTCAATCAAGCAATCTCAGTATCAGTCGATATTTGGAACAATCACATGATGATGCATTTTTTGAGAGAAATGTCACATTTAGTATCACCGTGGCAAAAAAAGTAGTATGTGCACAATTTGTCACTTTTGTCCAAATGGCCTTACATGATCATCAAGCAAATATTCTTGCTGTCTCCCTCATGTTCTTCTATTTTTGCTCTCTATATATGTAGCTCTCCTTCGACCTTCTTGAATCATGGCTTGCAAGGAACTCGGATGTCGCCACTTTCGAGAAAAATGGAGGATCTACATTTAGAGAACTGGCTCTCTTCCAAGACTATCATGGCCTGCCTGCTTTCAAGAAAGTAATTCTCTACCACTTCATAACTTCTTTACGACAGTAGTGATAAATAATTGTAGAACTTCTATTAACGTACTTATACGCTGCCTTGTCACTTAGTCTTTCGGGTTGTGAGAATATTTTCGTTTAATGATTATCTTTCTTGAATAAATCTCGAGAAGTCTTGGGCATGTTTTGATTTCCATGCTTATATTGTTATCGTTATAATAAACATCTGAAACTGGCCTGAAAATCATTTGCAGGTACTGGTAGATTTCATGGCAAAAATTAGACGAAACAAAGTAAGTTTCCATCCAAACAAGCTTGTACTCACTGCCGGTGCAACTTCAGCAAATGAAACTCTCATGTTTTGCCTTGCTAACCCTGGCGAAGCTTTCCTTATTCCCACACCTTACTATCCAGGGTAATGAATGTTATCTTCAATCTCTCCCCTAAACTTTAGGTTGCTTCTACAGATTTCTCACTTCTCAGACATTTCTCTCTCTATTTTTGGTAGGTTTGATAGAGATCTCAAGTGGCGAACTGGGGTTGAACTTGTTCCAATACACTGCTCGAGTTTGAATAAGTTCAGGATCACCGAGTCTGCACTGCAAGAAGCTTATCAACAAGCTCAAAAACTTAACCTAAGAGTTAAAGGGATATTGATCACAAACCCTTCAAACCCTTTGGGCGCAACAATGACCCGATTAGAGCTCAACCATCTCATTACCTTCGCCATGGACAAAAATCTCCATATAGTAAGTGATGAAATATACTCAGGAACAGTGTTTGGTTCATCTAGCTTCATAAGCATCATAGAAGCAGCAAGAGAGAGAAACCTTGAAAACACTGACATTTGGAGCCGCATTCACATTGTTTACAGTCTCTCCAAAGATTTAGGCCTTCCTGGTTTTAGGGTTGGGATGATTTACTCAGACAATGAGACAGTTACATCTGCTGCGACCAAAATGTCGAGTTTTGGGTTAGTTTCTTCACAGACTCAGTATTTACTGTCCAACCTTCTTGGTGACAAGAAATTCATGAAGAGTTACATGAAAGAGAATAGAAAGAGACTGAAAAAGAGACATGAAATGCTTGTTTCTGGGCTGGGGAATATGGGTATAAGGTGCTTGAAGAGCAACGCTGGGTTGTTTTGTTGGGTCGATATGAGGCATCTTCTGAGCTCTAATACATTTGAAGCAGAAATGGAACTGTGGAAGAAGATTCTTTCTGAAGCTAGCTTAAACATCTCTCCTGGGTCCTCTTGCCATTGCACTGAACCGGGTTGGTTTCGTGTATGCTTTGCAAACATGAAGAAAGAAACACTGAAACTTTCAATTCAGAGAATGAAGACCTTCGTGGACTCCATTAATGATGAAAATAGTGAGAACCAACAACTATCATTTTGCATCACAAAAAGAAGGTCACTGACTAAGTGGGTTTTCCAATTGTCATTGTATGATCGTGGGCCAGACCGTTAGTTCTGCATGAACCTCGAAGTCTAAAAGCTCTTTGTCTCTGTAGTACTTTCTAGCTTAAGAAGCACATGCAATAGCTAAAGTCACTTTCTTCCTCTGATAGGGATAGTCGTGTTTTTTTTCCCCCCCTCCGGTAAGTAATATTTGTGTTGTTCATGGTAGTAGTTTTTATGCTATCCATCCTCGATGGTAGCCCATGTCTTTGTGTAGTGAGAATTATGAGTTTGAGATTTGGTTGTGAATCCATTCTTTTCTCTTCCTCTCACTTCTAAATGTTCAGTATGATTGTAGTCAACTTCACAACTAAGGGTTGATTTTGTATAAATTATTATTATTATTATTGTGCAATACTAGACCTAATTTAGTGACTTGATTTATTAATCTAATCATATATGAAAATTGGCTCATTCCATCAATATCGAATTGGGGTCTAACCCCATATCCAACCCACACTGAAAATGAAATATTTGGTATTTTGACAAAGATTTTTGAGACTCAAATTGAGATTTATACAAAATTCCCAAGTTGATTTCAGATAATACTTGGGATGGGTCTTGAGTTTTGAGACTCGACCCAAAAAAATTTTTGAATTTAAATTTTAATTCGAATCATGATATCTTAAAACAAACTTGAATTGAATCTGATTTAAACATGTATTCAATAACCAAAACATGAAATATATGTGGGTTTTCTGCGTGGTTTTTGACGAATCCTTTTTTTCCATGTAAATTATGAGAATGTTCTTTTCACAAACCCATTTTTTCTCCCTATGACAATTTAGATCCTAAAACTTGCTAGTTTCTTGAAGAGATAGATCGACATAGAAAAATTCTAGTTAAAATTATAATCGAGTTCAACTTAATTTGATTATTCTATAACTCCATTAAGCCTAAATAGATTTTCCAACCCCTACGATCCACACCCAAATTACACTCCTACCATTATGTACCAGAATTATCCTGAAAATTCTGTTAGTAAAGCATTTTTCATTGAGATTACCTTGAAGCCAACACGCTACCTACATCCTAGAAATGTAACAAAAGGTGATATCTACAACGGGTGGGGTTCAGATCATAGCGCATAGACTTTGAATTTGTTCCCTTTCACGGCCGACAATAAAGTGCCAGCCTCACCAGTTCTAAAAGGTGGGGGTGCTAGGCTGTCAATTCGTGCCCTATTGTGTCACCTGTCAATCGGGTATTTTTGTGTGAAGACCAACCAAAAAAAAAAAAAATATATTTAATATATTTTAAGTGTCAAATATTAATCTATATTATTTATTATACGTATTTAATAATTACATTAATTTTATAATTGAGTAGTGCTACATGAATTTAAAAAATGAATTTAAAAACTAAATTTTATAATCTCAACCATTGATTTCATTGTAGGTCTCACCATTTATTGAGACTCATTACCTATTTAATAATTAAAATTATCAAGTCTAATTTTTAAATTTATGTAACATTACTCTTTATAATTATGTCAAATGGAATTCATGAATTCAGAGTTCATGTGAATGGATCAAAATCGACACCCTACTAATAGGTTAAAAGCTGGTCCACTTAATTGCTGGTATGTACCTTAAAATATGGACAACTTCCTTAAATTATCAACTTAATGCAATCAAAAGGAGTACACACCCTGTCTCTTTGTCATCAGCCCTGTCAAACGAAGGGCTGGAGTCATATAGTCCACTACACCATCCCCTTCGTCACGGCTTTGCCTCGTTGAACAATATTTTCTTTGGATCTAATTTCTCGGTTAGATCTATCAGTTTTGGATTGACGATAAATTTTATTCAATATTAGAATACATTTGTCATTGAACGAAAACAAAGGTTTCTCAATAAAATTAGTCAACAATACATTACTCTTATTTGATCAATGGGAAAAAAAGGGTGGCACGTATTTAATCTTATCCCTCTTGGCGACTTCAATAGAGGAATTTTGGATCCTTGCAAATGTGACCAAAGTCTACATTTTCTTCCAAATCAATTGCATGAAAATACCACGTTGGTCAAGTTATTTTTGAATTATTTAATTAAACTCTACTCGATTATAAAAGTAGGTCGGTACGCAATTCAATCTTAGCTGTACAATTCTTATTGGACTACTAATTCAATTGTGAATCCACCACCCAAAAATATCTCCATGTAAATTTGTTTGAAGTCAACTGAGATGGTCTTATACTCGATCTCTATTGCGTGCTAAGAATGATCGACAAATATCAATTCATGAGAGGATAAGGAATACACCCTGTCTCTTTGTCCCATTAGTCTTGTGAAGGAAATGGCTAGAGTAATATACTTCTGCACTTCCACACAGTCTTTTTCCATGGCTTTTGCTTTACATATTTTCCTTGCACCCACCCTAGTCTGACCGTAAGCTTTAGTCTATTTGTTTCTCCATCCAACCGCCCATTGAATACCTCGAGTGGAATTTAGATCCCAAAGATAAGAGGAGTCACGATAAAAGACTATAAATCTTAAACTTGCAATTAGTCAAATTGTCCTTATTATAAAAAATTGAATCATGGAATTCTCTCCGAGCTAAACTCACCAAATCCTAACGTTGTATTTGGTACGTGGTTATACTTTTCAGTAGAAATGAAATGAGTTTGAGAATAAAATGAACTTAAGAATGGAATGAAATGTGCATTATCATTTCAATGTTTGACAACTGTTTTAAGATTAAGTGTTGTAATAGAATATTCATTTCATTCTTATATTTGGATAAAACAATTTTTTCATTGGAATGAAATCAACTTTAACCAAAATATCTATAGTGACTAAAAATAATTGATAACAATTTTTTAAATTTTTTATGATTGCAATTGCCTTTCAAAGTTGTGTAAAAAAAATTATAATTAGAAAAAAATGAGAATCCATTAAAAAAAATTAAACCCTTATGAATTTTAAAAAATTAGAAAACAAATTCCTTCAAAATAGGTTTACAAAAGAAATCAAAATAAAAACCTATTCAAAATTGGTCATTCATTTCAAATGAATAATTATAGTTTTTTGTGAAATCAATAAAGTACATGTGCAAACCCAAAAAGAAAAAGAAAACTATCAAGACAACAAAGAATCTTATCCATGGAGGTTGAACTAAAAAATAATTGATGAAAAGTAAGTCCAAAAAATAATCAACAATATACAGAAAACAAAAACAAGTTAAATAAAAATAGAAATTCTTAAATTTCATTCATTTCATCTCAATATCATTGGAGATAGAATTCCAAGAAACAAAATCATTCGTACAAAAAATTACACTGTTTGTCTACTTGCTCTCCACTCATCAAACATTTTGTTTGCCAAATTCAATCTAAATAATGACTACTCATTGGATATTTCAACCGTGGTAATACGATTATGATGTGCATCATTTTCCACCATGAGACCTGCTGCATCTACCTCGACCCCTATTGATCAAAAATCAGTACATCCTGTGTCTCGAACTGCCCTATTGCCAAAGCAATCAGCCACAGAATTAGCCTTCGTATAAACATGCATCAAATGACAATCCGTTCTGTCAAGAAGCCCCTTAACAAACTTACAACAAAATGATATCACTCTTCAACTAAAAGAACAATGTATCATATCCACAATTTATAATGTGAAAAATAGACAAACCAAAAAAACGAAGATTTTGCACCATGTTTAACATTTGAACAATGGAAACCAAAGTTCTTCTTTACACAGTAACATTTATTCAAGATATTGTGATCTGAGGGAGAATAAATTCCCCTGAAATTTAACAAAAGGAGACTGAAGCATTCAATAATATTCAACAAGGACACATAAATCTGACATGTGAAAAACAAAAAACCAATGACATGATCATTGTTTGTGGAAAATTAGTGAAAAAAAAAAAAAAGACTTGATTTACGCCATTAGGGACCAAGTATGTAATCTTTGCTGATAAATTCATCAAAAACTGTCATATGAGAGAATTTTATTTTATTTTTTTTGCTGCAGTTTGTGGAATGGAAAGCAGAGCAAAATTTCTACGACTCTTGGTGACTGACTCGCAGATGTAGTTTTCGCAAAAATTGACATCTGTTGCGGCAAGGCATGCAGATAATGCAATCAAAATCAGTTTCAAAATTTCTACGGTTCTTGGTGACTGACTCGCAGATGTAGTTTTCGCAAAAATGGACATCTGTTGCAGCAAGGCATGCAGATNTCTGTTGCGGCAAGGCATGCAGATAATGCAATCAAAATCAGTTTCAAAATTTCTACGATTCTTGGTGACTGACTCGCAGATGTAGTTTTCGCAAAAATGGACATCTGTTGCAGCAAGGCATGCAGATAATGCAATCAAAATCAGTTTCAAAATTGAGGTAGAAAATCACAACTTAAATCTAAATAACATATTAGCGTAATACATTCAGTCCCTCAGATAACAACCTCAAAATGGAATCAGAGAAACATAGTTAGTGACCCGTTCTCACCCAAAACATGATGATATATGTGTTGAGTTTTATATCACCTTTATTGGCCGTTTCACTTTTNAGCGTAATACATTCAGTCCCTCAGATAACAACCTCAAAATGGAATCAGAGAAACATAGGTAGTGACCCGTTCTCACCCAAACACATGATGATATATGTGTTGAGTTTTATATCACCTTTATTGGCCGTTTCACTTTCCATGTATTAAAATACACTATTTTAACATCAAATGGGGAGACACTAATTACTGTAGATAAATATTGGTCTAAGACCAATGCCAGGCATATTTGAATCTATTGATCACCATTGTTGATTGATACAAACTGTGGGGCAAGTTTGACATCATCCAAAATGGATCCCTTTTTATTAAAATTTTAAGTCATTCTCATGCTAAATTAAAAGTCTGCCTCAAACCCGTAATTACACCTCTAATGNTTACTGTAGATAAATATTGGTCTAAGACCAATGCCAGGCATATTTGAATCTATTGATTACCATTGTTGATTGATACAAACTGTGGGGCAAGTTTGACATCATCCAAAATGGATCCCTTTTTATTCAAATTTTAAGTCATTCTCATGCTAAATTAAAAATCTGCCTCAAACCCGTAATTACACCTCTAATGCTTCAGTTTAGTCCATCTTTACCATGTTAAAATTTCTTACTTACATCCTGACAACATTTCCAATCTGAGTCATTGCAGCTGCATTTAGAAAAACTATGGAATCACGATCACCTAGTCACTTAGGACGCAACTTCCAGTGACTACGATGAAGTTTTACTTTTATTGAGAAAAATGGTCAATCATAGCCCAGATGTTTCGGTTCAGCTTTGAGACTCTTTCAGATTCCCTCTAGATCCAAGATAACACAACGAGACCAGTCTATGTCTATCCCTCCCAACAGCCTCCATTAATGAGCACATAGACTTGGCACCTTTAACTTCTCCTCTACCTCTTCTGTTTGTCATGCCCTTGATTTTTCTTTTGTTATTCTTCCCTTTTTCCCATCCCAATTGAAGGTAGCAAGATAAAATTCAATGTTGGAATCAACATTCAATAGCATCCATGTTAGAGAAATCAAATTCCATGATCAAGTACCAACTTGGTTGTGAACATATTCTTAGAGAGGGAGAGACTTGATTGTGAACAACAGAAATTTATAAAAAGAGTTACTGAATGTTGATTTTATTCTTTAAGACTTAATATCATGTACCAAACATAGCGTAAAGGTGTCTAGGGTCGGATCAAATCAACCAAACGAGAAAAAATTTTGATTTGTGCGAATTTTAAAATCAAATTTTGTACGAACACTGAGGTTGATCCCATATTTGAAATTCACTATTTATATTGTGGTCCAAAGAGTAAAATTGATAAGTATAGTAATGTTCAGGTCCAAATTGAGAGAGAGAGANTATTGTGGTCCAAAGAGTAAAATTGATAAGTATAGTAATGTTCAGGTCCAAATTGAGAGAGAGAGAGAGAGAGAGAGAGAGAGATGGACCATGCTTACACGCTGAGATCTGCAACATTGGCTAAATGGGCCCAATGTAATAAGTCCTAACTTTTGGGCTAGGCTTCTCCACGGTATACCCACTGAAGAATGGTCCAGACTTACAGCGACGAGAAATCCAGGCACATGGTATCAGACTATGCTTTCTTCTATATGACACCTCACTTCGTATTATGATCTGTTGGGAGATTGAGGGCCCATTGATCCAAGATTAATATATATGTCTGAAATTTATATCCACCTAAAAATTTAAGTTTATAAGTAATGATCTCATTAATAGTATATTAGGACACTTTAATTTATTTTTCTAATCGATGTAGAATTCTAGCACATGTACCCAATAATCTCTTGCTCATGTGTGAACTACACCTAGCTTAGCTCTCCCTTGAGTCTGGTTTACAACTTTTACAAACGCTATATCTAAACTACTCTTCATAAGTAGGGGGGTAACTTGGGCAAACCAACTCAAATTTAACTCGAATCCAGCCCGATAAAAATAAGGTTTGAGAAGAGGTTTTTAATACTTGGATTGGACCANAGCGTAAAGGTGTCTAGGGTCGGATCAAATCAACCAAACGAGAAAAAATTTTGATTTGTGCGAATTTTAAAATCAAATTTTGTACGAACACTGAAGTTGATCCCATATTTGAAATTCACTATTTATATTGTGGTCCAAAGAGTAAAATTGATAAGTATAGTAATGTTCAGGTCCAAATTGAGAGAGAGAGATGGACCATGCTTACACGCTGAGATCTGCAACATTGGCTAAATGGGCCCAATGTAATCAGTCCTAACTTTTGGGCTAGGCTTCTCCACGGTATACCCACTGAAGAATGGTCCAGACTTACAGCGACGAGAAATCCAGGCACATGGTATCAGACTATGCTTTCTTCTATATGACACCTCACTTCGTATTATGATCTGTTGGGAGATTGAGGGCCCATTGATCCAAGATTAATATATATGTCTGAAATTTATATCCACCTAAAAATTTAAGTTTATAAGTAATGATCTCATTAATAGTATATTAGGACACTTTAATTTATTTTTCTAATCGATGTTGAATTCTAGCACATGTACCCAATAATCTCTTGCTCATGTGTGAACTACACCTAGCTTAGCTCTCCCTTGAGTCTGGTTTACAACTTTTACAAACGCTATATCTAAACTACTCTTCACAAGTAGGGGGTAACTTGGGGAAACCAACTCAAATTTAACTCGAATCCAACCCGATAAAAATAAGGTTTGAGAAGAGGTTTTTAATACTTGGATTGGACCTGAGCTGAAAAATATCAACTCGTATTAAATTCGGGCAATACTCGGATTAAGGTCTCGGGTTATCAGGTTCAACCCAAAATATTAAATCGGGCTCAATCCAAACATATTTAAAAAAATATATAAATTACTAGATTCAATAGCATAACTTACAACTAGGGTTCACACTTCACAATTCACTTTAACGAAGCCACCCCAAAACTAGTCCGAATTAAATAACTAAAACTCAATGCGAATTAAATAACTCGAATTCAACTTGGGCAGAATATCGGGTTATGAATTAGAGATAAAGTTAAAGATTATATACCTGAGATTAAATTATGATTGACCCCTCAACCTGTCCAATCCACCCGAATTGCATCCCAATTTACAAGAGTTTGTTCTTTTAAGCATCATCACACTCTCTTCTTGAGTTGCGTTTCCAAGACTTCGAGAGTTCACCATGGTCAACCATAGACTTTGATATTAACTGTTGGAAGATTGAAAGCTTATTGATTCAAGATCAATATTTATGTTTAAAACTTATACCTACCTAAAAACTTAAGCTTGTAGGTGGGAAATTCGTCCCCTGGATCAACCGTTTTAACAAATTTTCATCCTTGATTAATTTGGACCGAAAATCTAAAATTTGGGCCGAAATTCTAAAGTTTGGCCCAAAATCTGAGCAGGCGATCGCTATGTATAACCGCCTTGTCTGAGACCGAATAAAAAACCTAACAGGACAGAGACAGTTAGACGATCTTAGGCCCCTAGGCCTGCCTCTACGTGTCGGTACTTTCGTTGATCCCGCAGATCTTCATGCAATTAAACTCCTATATAAAAATTCACACATAATGACACAACATAACATCCCCAACAATTCGCACAGCGATTCTATTGCGTAACTAGCAGTAAGGCTTGCGTGTACAATAAATTCAAAATTCTTGGAATCTTCGCGTTCCTTCTCTTCGCTTCTCTATTCCTTCAATTCAATCCCAATCTCTCTCTGTCTCTCTCTCTGCGCCTCCCTAACTGTGTGAAGTGGAAGCAAAGTCTATCAACGTCCAAATAACGCGTTCTTTTTTCAAGTTTCAGTTTTGAGGATTCGATCACTTCGCATTTATTCACGCCTCTCTATCTGGGATATTTTTAGGTAATTATTTCATGTTGTTTTCTATGCTTTGGCACGATTTCTGAAGCGATTCGATTTTTTTTTCTTTATTTAGGAATTTATGATTAGTGATTGTGATTATTTATGTTGATTGAGCGATGTTTGAATGTGTTTGAGTTTTGTTATTGATTATCGGAGTTGTTAAATGTATTATTTGACTTGATTAAACAATGTTTGAAGGTGCTTGAGATTTGTTATTGATTAGGCCTCAAACTAGAGTTCATTTCACTTATTTGTTTAGGGGTGCGAAATCATATGGATATAGGTGTCAGATAATTGGCACACTCATTAATAAAAATGAAATTTGTTTTTGAAGTGTCTGCGGTGGCCTGGTAAGCTTATCACTGCTTTGAGTTGTGCAGATTTGTTTTAGAGTTGAACCTTGGTTTTGAGAATCAAAAGGAAGAAAGCTTGTTGCTGGGGCTATTTTTCCCCTTCTTGTCGAAAATTTGAGCAAACGAACTTGAACAAAATTATTGTGCTTTAGAAATGCATCTAGTAACCGGGTGTTGCTCTTGCATTGCTTACATTCATTGCTGTTTTTGTGCATAATTCTCTTGTTTCAAATAGGTACTGCTATGAATGTAAGATATAACTAACACTCCTTCTCTGAGAATAACTTGAAATGTAGGAATTGATTGTCAAAAGTTTTGTTCAGTTGGACATGTCATGTGCATGCCTTGGTCACTGTTCAAACTTGCATGACTAGCCATTCGGTTGTTGTAGAATCGGGGAAGAGCTATTATGTGTAGTCTATGATCTACATAAATGCCTTGGTAGCTGGAAAATAGTGACAAAATCAGAGAGCATATCGTCTTTTGGATTGAAAATTATAATGTTGATTCTTGATAATTTAGAATCTGCTACTCTGCAAATCACTGAGCAGTAGATGAAAAAACTTAGGAAGCTCTACCTTGTTGATTCCCAGAAAATTTGGGATTTACCACTATGCAAGTTACTGAGCATTAGATGACAAAACTGTGGGAGTTCGTCTTGGTGTAAATATGGGATCTGATCCAGGATTAACCCAGCCAATCCGATAGTTTTCCTAAGATGCCTTTACATATGTGAATTAAAGGTGCACTCAATATTTTTTCTTTCTTTCTGGTTCTTGGTGGTGTTGATCTAGATAACTTTTGTTTATTACATGTACTGATGAATCCATACAACTTCTGCCCGAGTTATGGTTAGAGTTCTGTGTAAGACGGCGAAAATTGACATATAGTCATTGACTTATTATTTTTGCAGCTCCAGGGGCATTATTAAACAAAGCCATCTTCTCCCTGCATTATTAGTCTTTTCAAACACTATCCCAGGCTAATATATGGTGTCCTTTTATGTCTTGCGTGGATAATGAGATGCTAGAAGGTTGCAGATATATTGGACAGAGATGAACATCTCTGCTCTTTTGACTTCTGCTGGTATCAATATAACCATTTGTGTGGTGCTTTTGTCCTTGTATTCCATTTTAAGAAAACAACCAAGCCTTGTAAATGTGTACTTCGGGCAGAGGCTTGCTCAGGTACAATCAAAACGCCACGATCTTTTTTGCTTTGACAGACTTGTTCCATCTGCTAGTTGGATACTGAAGGCCTGCGAAACATCTGAAGAAGAAATATTTAGTGCTGGGGGGTTGGATGCAGTGGTTTTTCTCAGAATGCTTGTTTTCAGGTGATCACACGTTACCTTAAACTTGTAGACCCTGAAACTTTCTGCATGCTTTTAAGTTGTGATTTTTTATTGCATCTGATGTTTGTGAAAAGATGGCTAGAAATTGTCAATCTCTTAGCGTGATCTTGCCGACAGTTTTATGAAATTAGATGTCAAAGGATTGTAGTATTTGGTCCTCTCTATTCCCCACAGTGGCGGTAGTTTCGTGATCTTGTCAAAGGGTGGTCTTTACATATATTTCAAAGTGATGAACTGTTATCTTTACTCATCGAAAAAACAAAAAGTTGAATTGTTCTCTTTCCAATACACATTGGAAGTGTCAGAAAGCTTTGCCAAATGAAATTTTAGTCTTCTGGATACTTGTCAACACATTCTTACATCTGCAAACAGCTTGAGCAATTCATATGAAAGTGCGAAAAGATTGTTTTTAATGTTAGTTGTGTCACTTTTCATTAGCTAGGTATTTTTTGTTTTCTTGAACATGACAACGAAGGACAAATTCTTTTTTCTTTGTTTTTGTTTCACCCTTTTTCCTTTTTCACTATTTGCATAGCATGCTATTTTATCAATTTTGCTCATAAGATTGCAGTGATTATATATGTTATTGAAGTTGATACATAAATTTCACTTAATGATTGCTTATGTCCACCTTCATCTTCTTTGCGTGGTTGAGAGTCAGTTTTCACTATATTGGATTTGCTAGTATACTAACGTGCAATGCTGCATTATTTATGTACAGTATTCGAATCTTCTCCATTGCTGCTATCATATGCATATTTCTTGTGCTTCCACTGAATTATTTTGGGCAAGAGATGCAGCACAAGCAAATCCCTTCAGAGTCACTGGATGTATTCACCATTGGGAACGTCAAACTAGGATCAAGATGGTACGAAACATGAATTCCTCTACTCAACTTAACAAAGCCTCATCCCAAATATTTGGGAGTGACTACTTGAGTTCTGTTTCTTCGTTGTGTTCTATCAAGGGTCATATTTGTTGTTAAGTTGTGAGCTAGGAAGTATGGACACTTCATTTTGGGCAGAGTGTTGATGTCAGACACGTCTGGGACACGGACACGCTTCGGACACGTGTTGGACACGTTAAAATGAGTGTCCTATTTTTTTATTATTAAATTTTTTTTAGGACACGCTGGAAGACACGTTTTGAGATTTATTTTCAATATTTTTGAGAACTTTTCAGATAATTTTATAATTAGGAATTATTTTTATAATTTTAAAGGGATATGAGTCACAATCATAATATAAAAAAAGTTATAATAATTATATTGAACATAGGACATGAATATAATATAATTTTGGATATGAATATGAATTTATATACAAATGGAATAGTCTTTTAATATAAAAGTAATGTGAGAAAAAATAGGATTACAAAATTGGAGCTATTGGAATTTGATGAAAATTAGTATTACAAAATAAAATATTTTTAAAGTAAAAGTTGTAGAAGTCATTGATTATTGAATTATGGATGTTAATATTGTATGTGTATTAATATATCTTATATTATACTTTTCATGCACTGATATCATGATGTAAATTTTTAGAATTAGGAAAATAATGAATTAAAAGATTATTATGATAAAATTTTTATTTTATCACATGATTTTATATATATAAATATATATAAAATACATATTATTTAACGTATTGCTAACGTGTCCGTGTCCTACTTTTTTGAAAAATTTCGTGTCGGCCTGTCCATGTCGTGTCGTATCCGTGTCCGTGCTTCTTAGGTGGTGAGATTTCATATCGTTTTTTAACTATCTCACTCGATGTTTAATTCTTATGAATATTAAGGTTTTGGATGCTCAGTTATATAGGCCCACCTCGTGTACTTTTCATCGACAAAACAAAATTGTTTTCAATAACATGTTGAAAGTAAAATTGGAGATTGAGACCACCTGATGTTATACCTTAAAAATGGGATTCCCCATATCTAAATTTGCACAGTTTGGATATTTCCATCCATGTATTCTTTTCTCTTCCTTTTTTTTTTTTTCCCATTTTTCAAAGATCATCCCCTTTCACCTCATTTGGAGAGTTTGGAGAGGAAGAAATAATCAATCTCTGGCCATCATTCATCAACTCTCCCGAAAATATGATTATGGAATGGTTGAATTGTGAGCAATTTTGGTTAATTCATAATTGCTTGCATCCCAGGGAAGTACTTAGTTATGCTTACACTGGTTACTTTTCAATTGGTTTCTTCCATCTTTTTATCTTGATCAATCTTGTCATTTATTGTATCTCACACAATTCTTTATCAGGCTTTGGGCGCATTGTCTTGCACTATACGTCATATCCTTCTGCGCTTGCATTCTTCTTTACACTGTAAGGATGTAAAACCCATATTCCTCACTAATCTTAAGAAGTACTAGTGTTTTGATAAAAGTTCCTTGAGCAACTCCTTTGCAATGTCTCTGTTGATTTTAGAGCTGTTTCCATATGGCTTTAGGAGTACAAAAGCATCACAAAAAAGAGGCTANTGATCAATCTTGTCATTTATTGTATCTCACACAATTCTTTATCAGGCTTTGGGCGCATTGTCTTGCACTATACGTCATATCCTTCTGCGCTTGCATTCTTCTTTACACTGTAAGGATGTAAAACCCATATTCCTCACTAATCTTAAGTAGTACTAGTGTTTTGATAAAAGTTCCTTGAGCAACTCCTTTGCAATGTCTCTGTTGATTTTAGAGCTGTTTCCATATGGTTTTAGGAGTACAAAAGCATCACAAAAAAGAGGCTAGCTTATGTTACTGGATCTCCTTTGAACCCAAGTCAGTTTACAGTTCTTGTACGTGCAATCCCGTGGTCTTCAGGAGAATCATACAGCGATTCAGTCAGAAAATTCTTCTCAAATTACTATGCATCAAGCTATTTATCACACCAAATGGTTTATCAGTCTGGCACAGTTCAAAAACTGATGGTGAGCATCCGCGTTAGATAATTCCAGCTGGTCTTGTACTGTCATGAGAATTTTGTTCCCGCATCTTCAATATTATGAAGTAGTCGTATTCTATTATGTTTTGGCTTCACTGGTTGCTACATAACTATGTGANTCCAGCTGGTCTTGTACTGTCATGAGAATTTTGTTCCCGCATCTTCAATATTATGAATAGTCGTATTCTATTATGTTTTGGCTTCACTGGTTGCGACATAACTATGTGCNATTTTGTTCCCGCATCTTCAATATTATGAATAGTCGTATTCTATTATGTTTTGGCTTCACTGGTTGCTACATAACTATGTGCATTTTGTTCTTACATCTTCATATGATGGTTAAGGTTGTCATGCAATTTAACCATTTTTTTGTTGGATAGAGTCTAGATCCCTTTTAGGTTAATGGGGTTTTGTAAGGAGATTTTATGTCATGCTTCATCATCCTGAAACTATTTTTAATACCCGAGGCAATCACCCATCAGTAGTGAGGGGAGGATACTTCTATAAGTTAATGATAAAATTTGTTTTGACCTTGCCTTCAATGCATTAGGTTTTGTCGTAACCAACTGGATTTGAGCCTTTAAAGCATGGTGTTGATGTTGAAGAAATTGCACATTTTCCATGGGGCAAGTTCGATAGTAACCCAAAGAACTTAAAATATAATATGTTGCCCAGTTATTTTTCACTCTGGAAGTTCAGACAGCGTTGAAGTCTATCTCAACGCAGATTACTTTCACAGGTTATATCTTATGCTGCTTGTTGATGTGCAGAGCTCAATCTAATGCATGCACTTCAGTAAAGAATTTTGATGATACTCTTCTTCATCGCTTTTTACTTGAATATAAATCTGATCGTCAAAAATTTTGAATATAGTGCTCACACAATGAACTGGGTCTTTGTTTTTTTGGCGGTTTTTGAAAGATACTTGAATGACGTATGTCGAGCATCAACAGTAATTCCTGATATGTGTGAATGTAAGCAATGTGGTTCTCTTACTTAGATCAATACTAATTCATAATTGAAAGACTATGGACAGTATCCAGTTGCTTGTGGTTTTTGACAGTTGGCTCATCATGTATGCTTTTTGCAATTTTCCTCAGAGTTATATAACCAAATGTTTTTGCCTTCGGTCGTAATTTTTGTTTTGCCGAGTGATCTATGCTTAGTTTCTGTATGACCTTGTCTGTTTGCAGAATGATGCAGAGAAGATATACAGGATGCTCAAGTCCGCTCCTATGGAGCAACACTGTGGATTAAGTTTAATGAGATGTGGCCTTTGTGGAGGAACTGCACAACCTTTTAAGGTCCTTTCTAGTGAACCAGAAAGTGCTAATGGGAGAAGTGACTATGCTGATTCAGATTTGAGGGAAAAGGTTTGAAATTTTACGAGTATACTGTAATGTGGTTGACTAGGATCTTCTGTCATTTATGCATCTTGGTGATGGTGATGTGTGACATAAATTATGCTGACACATGCTGTATAGCATCTGGTCCTCTATCTCCTATGTGTGCCTTTGTTTCCAAGTGTATAGTTTTGGGCTAATTTTATTCGACATCTGCAGTATAGTAATTTTACACTGGTACTCATTTATATTTTTTAAAGCATCTCCGGTTTTGTAGTCAAATTTTCTCTTGACTTTTCTTCAATTATAGATGTCAGAGTCCAGAAATGTACCGACCACTTCATAGCCTTTTAAAGTTCTTTGATGTTTCATGCAGGAGTGTGCAGCTGCATTAATTTTTTTCAGGACTCGCTATGCTGCCTTAGTTGCTTCACAGGCCCTCCAATCTCCGAACCCCATGTTATGGGTTACAGACCTTGCTCCAGAACCAAAAGATATCTACTGGACAAACCTCTGTGTATCTTATAGACTGCTCTGGATCCGTAGGACAGCCACTCTGCTGGCTTCTGTTCTTTTCATGATTTTTTATCTTGTGCCCGTGACAATTGTACAAAGTATTGCTCACCTCGATAAACTTCAGAAGATATTTCCATTTTTAAGAGGAATTTCAGAGAGGTATTGTTGCCGTCCATGTCTATACTTGGAGTTTCACATACTTCTTGGTTTTACAGTTCCGCAGATTGCAGAAACTTAAACATGACATGTGTTGCATTCTACATAGATTGTCAGGAGTATTCTTGAAATATGAGAATATTAGTTCCAACACATTTATTCCGTTAACTTCTCATTTTTGTTTTTTACCCATGTATCATATCAAATATTTCATCGAAATTAAATAAAAGATGGGTGCAAACATCTGGTTAATTTCTGGACTCTCTACTAGACACAAACTTGGCCGAATGGATAACTAATAAATAAGACAGTTGAGGTATTTCAACTTACCNTGTCAGGAGTATTCTTGAAATATGAGAATATTAGTTCCAACACATTTATTCCGTTAACTTCTCATTTTTGTTTTTTACCCATGTATCATATCAAATATTTCATCGAAATTAAATAAAAGATGGGTGCAAACATCTGGTTAATTTCTGGACTCTCTACTAGACACAAACTTGGCTGAATGGATAACTAATAAATAAGACAGTTGAGGTATTTCAACTTACTTTTTTTTGAACTTGCATGCAGGAAGTTTTTGATCCAGCTGATTACAGGGTATCTACCAAGTGTGATATTGATGCTATTTCTCTACATTGTTCCACCATTAATGATGCTATTTTCAACGTTGGAGGGCTCTATCTCTCGTAGTGGCAGGAAAAGGAGTGCCTGCATCAAAATCCTGTACTTCTTAATTTGGAATGTTTTCTTTGCTCAGATTTTTACGGGAACTGCTATTGATCGAGTGGGAAAAATTTCTAGTGCGAAGGACATTCCTAACCAACTTGCCAGAGCAGTACCATCTGCGGTGAGTTTTTTCATATTTTATTTTCTTAATGTTGATGGTGATCCCGTTTGCTTCCTTAGCTTGCATGCCAAATTTATACCTTCGCCGACCCTTTATCCTTTCTCACAATTCATATTTTCCCATGTTTTATTATTGGAACTATTTCTAATAGATGTATTTAAGAACTGTGGGTTTTTACTCCAACTACTTGAATGTTATTGTNTCCTTTCTCACAATTCATATTTTCCCATGTTTTATTATTGGAACTATTTCTAATAGAAGTATTTAAGAACTGTGGGTTTTTACTCCAACTACTTGAATGTTATTGCTCAATGTCGATGCTGGGTCATATTCTTTACTCGTGGATGAAGGTTTACCACAGTAGTTTTTATTAGTGAATTGAAGAGTTCATTTTTAGTCTTATACACTGCCCATTTAATGAGAAGTTTTCTCGTGCCTCTATTTAATTTATGCAACACAAGGCTTTGATTATTTTTTAACAAATGTATATGGATTTAAATTGGTGCAGGCTACCTTCTTTATGACTTATGTTTTGACATCCGGTTGGGCAAGTTTGTCATGTGAACTCGTGCAACCGTTTGCTCTTCTGTGCCACTTATTTGAAAGATTCGTTCTCAGAAACAAGGATGATCCATCTTGTGGGACTTATACTTTTCCATACCACACTGAAGTTTCAAGAGTCCTACTTTTTGTCCTTCTGGGCTTCACCTTTTCCATATTGGCACCTTTAATGTTGCCCTTCTTGCTGGTTTACTTTCTGCTCGCTTATCTCGTGTACCGAAATCAGGTGAGCATTTCCTTGTAAACTGTAAGGGCCTTGAGTTCTTCTAATCAGAAAGTGTTCATAATCAGAGCTCTGACTGTAATCAATTTTGGTTTGCAGCTGCTTACTAGGTTTATTTGTTCATTTGTCTGTCCTGTTTTGAAATTTTATATGAATTTTGACCTAAAAATCTCACTATAATTTTTAATCTTTGCTTCTGCGTATATTATACTCTTTATGCTTCATGATATGAATAAGCAGTTGGCACTGCAGCACCTATGGTGCACTTTTTCATTTGTCTTCTAGGTGTGTATATTGAATAACCACTAAGGTAATTGGGTGGTACCATCCTACAGATTTTAGTAGGTAGTGAGATTTACAAGTTTCTTGTCCCTTAATCTTGAGTTTAAAATTCCTCTCTTTGCCAATTGAGGTACTTTGGAATCTTAACCTTTACAAGTTGTAAGTGTGNGGTACCATCCTACAGATTTTAGTAGGTAGTGAGATTTACAAGTTTCTTGTCCCTTAACCTTGAGTTTAAAATTCCTCTCTTTGCCAATTGAGGTACTTTGGAATCTTAACCTTTACAAGTTGGAAGTGTATTTTGAGCTTTAAGCGGAAATTTGGTATCCATCTGTATGACAAACTGATTGCCCTATAGATCACTGTGTGTGAATGTTGAACGTAAGCAGAATTGTTTTATTAGAGGGAAATTTTTCTTTTTGCGGGCTGAGGGAAGGGGAAGGTTCGATTGTAATGAAGTTTGTAATAACAGGATACAATGTGTCTTTCAGATTCTCAACGTGTATATCACTAAATACCAAACTGGTGGACTTTATTGGCCTGTTGTGCATAAGACAACCATCTTCTCGTTGGTTCTGACACAAATAATAGCTCTGGGAGTCTTTGGACTGAAAGAATCAACTGTTGCATCGAGCTTCACCATCCCGCTAATTATTTGTACACTCCTTTTCAATGAGTACTGCAGGCGAAGGTTTCAACCAGTATTTACGAGCTTCCCTGCACAGGTAATGAGTGGAAATTTGTGTATTTTCCCTTCTCTTCCCTTTGTTCCCCAAGATTGATGTCTGGGTTTGTCCACAGGTTCTTATTGAGATGGATTGGCAGGATCAGCAGTGTGGAAGGATGGAAGAAATTCATCAGCAATTGCGTTCCGCCTATTACCAGTTCACATCTATCTCCAGTAAACAGTGTAAAGCTGCACACCCTAGTCACTGTGAGAGTGAGGATGGTGATGGGGTCCAAGACCTCGAAGACAAGGCACCAGGTTTGGCTCACCCAGTTACAATAAACTTAAGGGAAATGCTATTTGGACTTAATTATAACCGGCCAAACGTTTTATTAGTTATTTATTCTTGCTACTTTACAGGAGAGAAATCCACCATTGTACAAGAAACACAGGTTGAACGCTTGCATTTGGAAATTGAAGAACTGAATGTGAAGTAGATTGAGCTTTGTTCTGCCCTTCCTGATTCACTTTTTACATGCAAAATGCTGTTCATGCGTTTGTATGCCATCCTTATGAGGGTGCTTGCTAGATGAAATTTGTTGGAAGAAAGGATTTTGTAGAAATAGCTCTGTACAAAAGACACATTTTGATTGTTATTCCGAAATGAAGTTGAGACATTATTCTTATTCCTAACGAAATTGCCCTAATATTACAATGAAATCTGAGATCATCAGTGTTCAAAAGGTTTAATACGTGTCTTTTGTTGATTGGTTGCTGTGTAAGTGATATTTTAGGCTTCATTCCTGGCAGTGGAACCATCTTCAAGCAAGGAATTCCTTCTATTGTCTCCCTCTTCTCCTTCTGGTGAACTTTTCCAAAGCCACAAAACTTGCATCAGCCCACCATTTGCAATATGCAAGAGAAACACCCATCCTCCTAAAGGAAAATATGTCGAGATAATCTTAACAAGAACAAAGAAACAACCTATACCCAAAAATTGCTGACTCAATCTTCTCTCCTGCCAAACAAAATATCACAGTAACGCAATGGTGCATCAAAGAAAGGAACAGAGATAAGGGAAAGATGAAAAGGAAGAATATACCTCTGAGTTCCTAAACAACTCTTGCGATGCCTCTTTCAAGAATTCGGTCATCAGGCAGCCAACGAAAAGACCAAATGGTATTAATAACTCTTTGTTTCTAGAGACAGCATATATGATATCTGATGAGGAGCTAAAAATGAACAGTACAATAAGAGACCACTTTAATGCCTGCTGTCCTAAAAGCAGCAATTGCTGCAGCGCGGTAGCCTCTGCTTTTTTCCATGGAAATCTTTTAGTTGATTCAGGAATGACCTCCCACAATTTCTCCCTTGCATAGTTCATATACATCTTGACCTTAAGAGGTTCCTGGAACTGTGCCATTGTTGGTAGTTTTACAGAATTTATGGCAGAAATTGGGGGATTCCTGATATGTATAGGTAAGCGGCTATAAACTTGACATGATTTGCCTTCTACAAACTTAATCTGTAGGAGCCAAAAACAATATCTTACAGTAAAATTCCTTTTCATTCTTGTGTATTGTGGGTGTGAGAGCCAGTAGCATAAAAAAAAAAAAAGCATAATATTGCAAGACTGGAGAATGATTGAATGCTCACGTCATCAGATATGCTTGGGTTCAGTCACTATTACCCAAAATCGTGGCATATTAAAAAGGGTGAGAAATATGAGAAAAAAAAATGTTTGATACATAACACAATGACTTAAGTTCATCCATACAAAACTATGTGACAAGTCAGAATTAATATCAGATATAACACATGCAAGTTTGTCACTGGAAGATGACCTTCATTTCCAGAAGCCTGATACGACCAAGGTTTTCCAGCAATGTAACCCTATTTAGAGAACCCTCACGAAGGTGAATTAAGAACTTGCTTTTCCAACAAACATCCAAAAATCCACACACTATGTTTCAAGCTAAGCAGAGGAAGTAGTTGTGACTTCTGACATTTATAACAAGTGAAAACACTCGGCCGGACTTGAGACTTATAGAGCAGATTTGGATACCTATATATCCNTATTTTGAGCTTTAAGCGGAAATTTGGTATCCATCTGTATGACAAACTGATTGCCCTATAGATCACTGTGTGTGAATGTTGAACGTAAGCAGAATTGTTTTATTAGAGGGAAATTTTTCTTTTTGCGGGCTGAGGGAAGGGGAAGGTTCGATTGTAATGAAGTTTGTAATAACAGGATACAATGTGTCTTTCAGATTCTCAACGTGTATATCACTAAATACCAAACTGGTGGACTTTATTGGCCTGTTGTGCATAAGACAACCATCTTCTCGTTGGTTCTGACACAAATAATAGCTCTGGGAGTCTTTGGACTGAAAGAATCAACTGTTGCATCGAGCTTCACCATCCCGCTAATTATTTGTACACTCCTTTTCAATGAGTACTGCAGGCGAAGGTTTCAACCAGTATTTACGAGCTTCCCTGCACAGGTAATGAGTGGAAATTTGTGTATTTTCCCTTCTCTTCCCTTTGTTCCCCAAGATTGATGTCTGGGTTTGTCCACAGGTTCTTATTGAGATGGATTGGCAGGATCAGCAGTGTGGAAGGATGGAAGAAATTCATCAGCAATTGCGTTCCGCCTATTACCAGTTCACATCTATCTCCAGTAAACAGTGTAAAGCTGCACACCCTAGTCACTGTGAGAGTGAGGATGGTGATGGGGTCCAAGACCTCGAAGACAAGGCACCAGGTTTGGCTCACCCAGTTACAATAAACTTAAGGGAAATGCTATTTGGACTTAATTATAACCGGCCAAACGTTTTATTAGTTATTTATTCTTGCTACTTTACAGGAGAGAAATCCACCATTGTACAAGAAACACAGGTTGAACGCTTGCATTTGGAAATTGAAGAACTGAATGTGAAGTAGATTGAGCTTTGTTCTGCCCTTCCTGATTCACTTTTTACATGCAAAATGCTGTTCATGCGTTTGTATGCCATCCTTATGAGGGTGCTTGCTAGATGAAATTTGTTGGAAGAAAGGATTTTGTAGAAATAGCTCTGTACAAAAGACACATTTTGATTGTTATTCCGAAATGAAGTTGAGACATTATTCTTATTCCTAACGAAATTGCCCTAATATTACAATGAAATCTGAGATCATCAGTGTTCAAAAGGTTTAATACGTGTCTTTTGTTGATTGGTTGCTGTGTAAGTGATATTTTAGGCTTCATTCCTGGCAGTGGAACCATCTTCAAGCAAGGAATTCCTTCTATTGTCTCCCTCTTCTCCTTCTGGTGAACTTTTCCAAAGCCACAAAACTTGCATCAGCCCACCATTTGCAATATGCAAGAGAAACACCCATCCTCCTAAAGGAAAATATGTCGAGATAATCTTAACAAGAACAAAGAAACAACCTATACCCAAAAATTGATTACTCAATCTTCTCTCCTGCCAAACAAAATATCACAGTAACGCAATGGTGCATCAAAGAAAGGAACAGAGATAAGGGAAAGATGAAAAGGAAGAATATACCTCTGAGTTCCTAAACAACTCTTGCGATGCCTCTTTCAAGAATTCGGTCATCAGGCAGCCAACGAAAAGACCAAATGGTATTAATAACTCTTTGTTTCTAGAGACAGCATATATGATATCTGATGAGGAGCTAAAAATGAACAGTACAATAAGAGACCACTTTAATGCCTGCTGTCCTAAAAGCAGCAATTGCTGCAGCGCGGTAGCCTCTGCTTTTTTCCATGGAAATCTTTTAGTTGATTCAGGAATGACCTCCCACAATTTCTCCCTTGCATAGTTCATATACATCTTGACCTTAAGAGGTTCCTGGAACTGTGCCATTGTTGGTAGTTTTACAGAATTTATGGCAGAAATTGGGGGATTCCTGATATGTATAGGTAAGCGGCTATAAACTTGACATGATTTGCCTTCTACAAACTTAATCTGTAGGAGCCAAAAACAATATCTTACAGTAAAATTCCTTTTCATTCTTGTGTATTGTGGGTGTGAGAGCCAGTAGCATAAAAAAAAAAAAAAGCATAATATTGCAAGACTGGAGAATGATTGAATGCTCACGTCATCAGATATGCTTGGGTTCAGTCACTATTACCCAAAATCGTGGCATATTAAAAAGGGTGAGAAATATGAGAAAAAAAAATGTTTGATACATAACACAATGACTTAAGTTCATCCATACAAAACTATGTGACAAGTCAGAATTAATATCAGATATAACACATGCAAGTTTGTCACTGGAAGATGACCTTCATTTCCAGAAGCCTGATACGACCAAGGTTTTCCAGCAATGTAACCCTATTTAGAGAACCCTCACGAAGGTGAATTAAGAACTTGCTTTTCCAACAAACATCCAAAAATCCACACACTATATTTCAAGCTAAGCAGAGGAAGTAGTTGTGACTTCTGACATTTATAACAAGTGAAAATACTCGGCCGGACTTGAGACTTATAGAGCAGATTTGGATACCTATATATCTACAAAGGTGGTATTTCATTATACAATATATATAAGATCCAACTACGTAGATAACATCATCTACATCCAAACTCTGAGGAGTTGGTAACTCTACAAAGCTCATCAGTTCTATGATGATGTGAACCAAAAACCATATGATGTCTTTTCCCATACCACTATTGGCACAACAACCCTCACGCCACCACACATACACAAAATGAAAAACAGGAAAAAAAGAAGCTACATACACGAACCAGTAATACTGTTTAACCAGTTTTAGACACCAAAACTGAAATTAGAAAGGTAACTTGTTCTCTAAATCTATCCACATTTTGTTCTCAGTTTTCAAAAAACACAAAAGAAAAAAAAGCGGGTCAAACAACTTTTCTCCTAGAAAATGTTTTCGAAAACAGAAAAACAGTTAAGAGATTCAACCAATCAGACATCCTCACTCTCTTAACTGTCTCTCCTCGAGAAATTTCAACTAAACCAGCTATTTTTCAATTATCAAGAAAGCATGGCAAAATGCTATGGCCTAAGTAACTCTCTCGCTTTGAGTACGCAAGCGAATTGCACCATTCAAAGCTCTCTGTCTTCCAATAGTATCGGATAACAATAGAGCAATCAAACTTCAAAACTAAAATTTCAGGCCATCAAGTGGACACCCCTACTCTTCCCCAACAAAATCGAAACAACAATGTAATACTCAGAGGATTTCGTTAAGGAATTGCTTGCTATATACAGTATAAATTCACAATTTTATTTTTTTTTGCTTTCTCGAGGTTCCACTTTTATTAATACTAATAATTGTGTGATTTTGAGTTCACCCCTTACATTCGAAGTTCAATGTCGAGATTCGTATGGTGTTTACGGTTTCAACTGTGACATGCTGCTTTTTCTTGTTTGCTTATTTTCAACGTGAAACGGCCTGACCACACACACACACACACGCACAGATAAACAGAAACAGTAGAAGAGTGCAAAACAGACATTACCCGAAAACTTGACGGAGACAACGCTGACGCCGGTAAACCCATCAGACCTCGCCGTCGCTGTTCCTGATCACATTGACATCGCGCTCTCTCTCTCACTCTCTCTCTCTGAGGGTCTGAGGGGTATGGTTGTCAATTGACGTAACAAAGACACGTGTACGACAATNCTCTCTCTCTCTCTCTCTCTCTCTCTCTCTGAGGATCTGAGGGGTATGGTTGTCAATTGACGTAACAAAGACACGTGTACGACAATACCCTTCTAATATTTTCTCTTCTGGAAGGTGAAGTCGCTGGGTTGAAAGCCTTTTGACATTGGACTTGATGTATGTAAACGGCCTTAGATTGCCCTAACACAAAGCCCAAAGCCTCAAGCCAGTTTTGTCTAATTTGGGTGTTAATTTAAGTCTCGGCCCATTGAAAAAATTACTTTAATGGGCCTAAACACGATTAACTCTCAACTCATCAGGTTCATTCAAGTGTTTGTGGGTTTTATTTACCCAAAAAAACTCAAATAGGGTGGTCCCTACTTGAGATGGTTATGAAATTCAACTGCAATAAATTTTTTTTAATTTCTTTATCGGTAGACCACCTATCATACATTCATGTATGATCTGTTATATATAAGTGGGTCCCTCACTAATTAATAGTGAATGATCCGTCAAAAAGAAAATCAAAGAACAAATGCATTGAAAATGATCCANTTTACCCAAAAAAACTCAAATAGGGTGGTCCCTACTTGAGATGGTTATGAAATTCAAGTGCAATAATTTTTTTTTAATTTCTTTATCGGTAGACCACCTATCATACATTCATGTATGATCCGTTATATATAAGTGGGTCCCTCACTAATTAATAGTGAATGATCCGTCAAAAAGAAAATCAAAGAAAAAATGCATTGAAAATGATCCGAATACCAATAGGTCAAAAAGATCACCTATAGGTATCATTTAATAAACAATGCTGATGGGATGCGAAGTATATGTCGTCTATTACAAGGTTTCTTTTGATCTTAAAGCACTGTAGGTCTATTGTGCTATTTTGGGGGGATCAATCACCATTCACAGGAGGGGCTCTCATCACTTTCAATGAGATCACGAATGGGCTTCTGGGGCCCTAGATTCTGTGGAGATCTGTTCAACAGACTAGGGATGAAGGCCCATTTTGGNTTTGATCTTAAAGCACTGTAGGTCTATTGTGCTATTTTGGGGGGATCAATCACCATTAACAGGAGGGGCTCTCATCACTTTCAATGGGATCACGAATGGGCTTCTGGGGCCCTAGATTCTGTGGAGATCTGTTCAACAGACTAGGGATGAAGGCCCATTTTGGTTACATTAAAATTGTAAAGCAAAATAAGCAGGTCCATGCATAGCCCATACCCATTAAACTGGGGCTGCACATGGGCCGTACTAGGTCATGGTGTATCCTACATGTTCAAGCCATGTCATTTTCACCACTTATTCAACATATATGAGATCCATCCTTTTGTGTCGAGGTTGTGTAACTTGTAAGTTATACTTAATTGAATTTGTATCGACGTATCTATCGAACAATTCTACTAAGATCAATCCTTTGATGATCTCTATTTACTTGTTGGCTTTGTATTGGTTACATGATATTAGAAAATTGTCAACCCTACCAATTGCTGAAAACTACGAATAAGTGCTGGGTATACAAAACAAATACATTTGCCAAACAGGTCAGATACGAATTTCTTGGAAACATATATTATGTGCAAGTATAGTGCATTCTATAAACTATCTTAATCTCAGTATCCATCTTTTGAAAACAAGACCATTGACGGCTATCCTCTTCTCCTTGGAAACAGAATACATAGCACTTATATATTCATCCTTTTCAATGAATAAGAACATGCATGGTTTCCAAGGCAATTTTTTTCGTAAAGAACAACTTTTTGATCAGGTCCTAGTAAAGGACAAATATGAAGGAATTCCATGTTAGTGAGTGTCATTATCATTAAATAAACAAAGCATTAATAAAATATTGATAATATAAAATTAAAAAGTGACAAAAATAGTCGTCGTTTGGCTGTTGTCATGGCTAGGGCGACCCTGTTCGGAGGCTTTTAAACATGGATATTATTAGTGTTAATTATCGTCATCAAGTTGAATGAGAATGTGCCTTCAGTAAAGTCCAGTTTGAGATTTTGGTTGCTTCTATGGGGCTCTTTCTGTTTTGCTCCTTCTTAGTAAGGGATATTCTGAATAACTTTACAGACTTTATTTGGGTTTAAGCTTATCATCTTGCTTTTCCCTTGCAGCAGTCTCAGCATTATTGATTTCTCTACGTATGGTGGATCTTATCTGTATGTCAGCTCTCTTGACTGTACACAACTTTTGATCCACAATTACATATCAGTAAACTAGTGGTAGGTTGGGGTACGAGTTTGAATGACAGAGAGAAAGAAATTTGCGTTGCTTGGGTATATGGGTGTGTACTGAGTTGTGTCTTCTCAATTTCGTCATATCATATGAAAATCTTATTTTGGTGTTCTGTTTTTATTTTCATGTAATTTGTGAACTAGAAACTATAGGACTCTGATCCCATTTCCTCTCAATTAAATCCACCACATATAGGTCTTAATATAGAGATTTACTTAATACAATTAAAAATTGTATAATTTTAGATTATTTCAAATAATACTAGAGTAAAAAATTTTAATTTTTTTTAAAAATAATTGTTTTCTTCATACAATAATAGTTAAATAGGTTTCTTAAGCTTGACGCTAATTTAACTCATTTAATCCTTGATTAAAAAATAAAAATAAAAACTCATTTAACACCCATATCAACTTTCGTTTCCAAATCAAACACTTCATACTATCTTATTTCTTCAATTCTTTTTTGCACACCAACGTCTCTCTCAATTTTTTATTTATTTAAGTGGAATTCATCAAAGCTTTATTGCAAATTGTAGAAGAATTATTCTCACCTAGGGTTTCTTCCAGGTTACTTCTTCTAAAAAAGTAGCTTGAATTTGGCTTCATGTGGGATACGTACATATTCATTCCTATTCTTTTGCATTGTCTTTTCTGCCTCGTTATTCTTTGTTAGGAAAGACTAACTTGTAATTGGTCTAACTAATGACGTACATCTCTGAGATTCATAAATCTCCAGCTTTAAGCGTCGGGACAAGCTTATAACCTTTTTTAACACTAAAACCAGGTGTTTGAACACCTTTATGTTTCATATTCCATGTCTGGGGCATTAATTTTAGTAAAGTTATAACGTCTTGTAGTTTGACATATTCTTCATGTACTTTCCTCAAGGCATTTAGAGAGAGAGAGAGTTCTAAATTCAATCTACCAACAATTTCTTTTCAGCATAAATTGATTTTTTTTTTATCTATATCTGGAT